GTGTGTGTGTGTGTGTGTGTGTGTGTGTGTGTGTTATTGAGGCAGGGTTAGAAATACAGAAGCAAAAACCAAGAGAAAACAGAGATAAACTGATTTCTAGGAGTCTTACCAATGCCATTAATACCTAACTTTACATACTGTTTTTCCTTCTTACACAAAGTAAAGCTTCTGCCTTCTAACCAACAAAGAGTTTAGCAGTGGCTTAATTAAAAGATTGCTAAAACAAAAGACCAAAAAATATTAGTTATTGTCATAAGGTGCTCATTTTCAATGTCCCTCTCAGTTATTACTAATAGTTTTCAGTTGATATGATTTGAGAGGATAAAAAATTTTAACTAGTCTTTAATCTATCCTATTTGTACTGCACTTTGAGTAAAGCCAGCCAGTTATCTTCAAATATCAAACATCTCAAAATAATTCTCTATATTCTGTCAAATAAATTCTATCCCTAGCTATAACCCAGCATATTTTAGGTCCCACATAATATTGGGTGACTCTTAAGTCCCATGTACCACCCAGAATCCATCTATATAGAACATTAATCAAGAGATGATGGAATAGTGGCAGCACGTACATACATGATAACCTGAGTAGAAAATAATTTTGTTGTGGAAATATTTATTAAATGGTTATTTTTGAGAATTTTTGCAGCCAATTGAGAAACTATTTATATTAAAGTATTTAACATGTTTGTCAATAACTTATTCACTATATGGCTCACAGGCTGCTTTAAATTCAAAGTAATTTCTAGTGTTTTGACTACCAAGACTATATCGTGTGATAGGAATCACCTGGCTCAGCATATAATCTATAGGCATATTTGCATTGGATGTATATGCCTAAATTTAATAATGTATAAAAAGCACATGTTGAATGGAAGTCACTGATCAGTTATGTGGCTTCCTTTGATAGGTAAGTTACTTATTCATTCTGGACCATTTTCAACAGAAAAGAAAAGAAGGTTATCACTAGTTCTTCTAATTACAAACAATTGTTATGAGCATCACATAAAGAATATATCTGGAAATTCTCTGGAAATTCTAAAATAATACCTAAGCAATAATTGGTATACTACGTTTGCTAATATATCTTTAGATATTTATGTATGGAAAAACTATCCACCACAATTTTGGGCCACAGATATAATCCAGTTAAATACAGGAAACAAAAACCAAGAGGCAATCTCTTGCAGAAGCCCCATTAGAATCAAAAGTTTAGTTGGAACCAAAGCTGCTAAAAGATGACCCTTTTAGCATGGCCCTATTGAATCTACTTCCTTAAGTGGGAATGGATGGTAAATGGGATGAAAATTATTCATGGAAGAAGAGAGGTGACTTTCACTTCTGGCATAAAAGTGGAATTTAAATGCTGGGCATCAAATAAAAGGTAAGCAGTAAGCAGGATGTTGACAATACTAATAACGTCCCCTGAAATATTGCACATAGCAAGCATTCAATGGGCATCCGTGGAATTAATTCTCTGGCTTAAAAAATCAAATACTTGAAGGTGACATCCAAAGGTACGAAATAAAGCAGAATCAAGATCAGACGTTCAATCCTAAATACTTATCTCTGCACATGATATTCCACCAATACAAACCAAATTATTGTCTCTAGTTGCAGAAAGAGACAGCTGTAGGAACTGAACACTTGAGCCTACTCTTTTCTCACTGTGTCACAGTGTTTGTTTGCATTTTCACAATTCCCAGACTAGTAACTGTGCCCTTTGTAGCTACCAGAAATTATTGACACCAATACAAAGCTAAATCCAATATCTTGCAGAAATGTGAAAATAAGAGCAGGCGCCTAGAAACGATTTAATTTGGGGTAATTGAGAAGGAGCAATGCTTGAGTGTAATATTGAGTATTTTTTTAACCTACCTCCAAAGATACAGTTTTATTTGGCTTACTCATTGTTGTTGTTTTTTTATTATTTTATTGGGGGCTCGTACAATTCTCATCACACTCCATACACACATCCATTGGGTCAAACACATGTGCACATTTGTTGCCCTCATCATTCTCAAAACATTTGCTTCCCACTCTAGCCCCTAAGATCAGTTGCTCATTTCTCCCTCCCTCCCCGCTTCCCCCTCCCACATGAGCCCTTCATAAATCATAAATTCTTATAGTTTTGTCGTAAGTGGGAAAACCAAAACACTCGAAACTCACTGCCATGGGGTCGATGCAGATTCACGCCCCCTGTCGGGCAGGGGAGAACAGCCATTTGTTTGGAAGTTTGGAAACCGTTTGTTTCCAAGACTGTGACTCTTCATGGGAGGAGGAGACCCATCGTCCACGTCTATTGGATCACAGCCCCACACACAACCACTACACCCACATGGCTCCAAAATGAATATCAACATCTCTATGGAGCAATAAATAAGCACACTGGTCATGCCCTTTGTTCTATTTGCTTCTGGACTATTTTAGTTAAAAAACAATTATATATGTGTGTGTATGTATGTATATATATCTTTATGACATAGACAGTGAAGAATTGGTGGATTTTAAGAAACTGATATATATGCATATTGTTACTAAGTTTTCCTTCAAGTAGTGCTCATATCTGGGCTCATTCCAGTATAAATGGTGGAGCAAATGGCTTCCTTTTCAGCAAACAAGCATTAGCACACAAAGCTACCAATGCTTGTAACTGACATGTATTCAACCACTTCGCCCTCAATTCAGGATGCTTTGCAACCTTTGCAAAGCTTTTCAAGCTTTGCTTTATGTCATTTATTTACCACCTGACAATTTATGTTGACACATAAAAGTATACCTGAATGATAATCTGAGTTTGAAACAATTTTTAAAACTCATATTACTTTGGAAGTTAGTAAGTACTCAGAACTGAATGGTAACATCATACAAATGCAATTAATTTTAAAAATTCTATATTATAACCTGAAACAAAACAGTCTCTTCTAATAGCCTGGAAGTACTTTTTCTCCACAGCATGGCATTTAATGCATATGAGGCTGAACTACTAACCACAACGTTGGTAGTTCGCACCCACCAGCTCTCCTTGGGAGAAAGATGAGCCTATTTGCTCTTCAAAAAACCCTTTAAGGGTTTCTATGAATCAAAATTGCCTCAATGTCAGTGGTTTGTGATAATAAAAGATTTAATATAGGCAAGTTCCTGCTCGCAGCCCTTGTACTTGGCCTTAGTTGCTTAGATTTAATATGGGCAAGTTCCTGCTCACAGCCCTTGTACTTGGCCTTGGTTGCTTTCCAATCAAATCCTGGGTCTTGGAGACCCCAATCACAGCAGAATGAATGAAGACCTTGTTCTCAACACTCCCCGGGTCAGTGGCAGTTAGACCATTGTGATACATAGGATTTTTATTAGCTGATATTCAGAATTAAGTTACTAGACCTTTTCTCTAGTCTATATTAGTCTGGAAGCTCCAAGGAAACCCGTTCAGCCTCCCAGCGATATAGAAGTCTCCTCTGGGAGATATGGGGGGCTACAACAGCAATACAGAAGTCTCCTCTGGGAGACATGGGGGGCTATAACAACAATACAGAAGTCTCCTCTGGGAGACATGGGGGGCTGCAACAGCAATACAGAAGTCTCTTCCGGGAGACATGGGGGTTGGGGGGACTGCAGGGGGAATGCCCTGGCCTGGAATGGGCTGTGCTTCCTGCATGGTTTTCCTTCCACAGAAGCACCCACAGTCTCTCTTCAATCCTTGCCAGATAATTATTGTCATCAATCATTTTATACAGACTTTATTCTTCTTTCCTTAAGTTTTATTCTAAGTGGATAAATATGTTTTTTCCACGTAGTCTGCAGACAAATATAGGTCACAATTTATCTGTTTGGTCTTTTTTATTTGAAATACTGCAGTGGTTAAATCATTTTTTTCTTTGTACTTTATGTTTAATAAACAGTTTTATTATTTGGGATATCGATGGAAAATCCAATTCCTCAGCTAGACACGGAACAACATTATAGCATATAAAATTCTGACAAATAAGGCCATAAAGTTTAAAAATGATCCTTAAGATAAGTACTTTTTTCTCAAAAGTAGCTTAAGGGAACAGGTTTTCATAGTTCTAAATCTTAAAGCATCACCCGCAAGTAAATGCATATCCTGCATGTTCTGGAAGTTTTCTTGAACAACAGAGGTTTCCAGGCAAAGACTAAATGAAATCTGGATGAAAATGTTATAGGTGGGACTGAAGCAGCAAACGACTGATTGAATTAGTGACCTTGAAAGTCACTTCCAACCTTGAGAACTTCTACCTTTAGATGTGCTGTATGATGAGAATTGTGGAGTATTGACTTAAGCTTCCTGACCTAGATTTACCTGATGAATTGAGAGGGGTTGTTCATACGAATAGATCTCTATCCACCCCCCGGGTGTTTTAAAAAATAAAATTATTGTATAAAAAGACTGTATAAAAACAGTCTTAAATTCCCTTGCTCCCCATCATTAGCACATTGCAGACAATCAATGTGCATTGTATGCATAGGTAACATGAGCTGTCTTGTTTAACTTGGTTGCAAAAAGGGTCCACTTACAGACCCTCTCAATGAGAATATCTTGACAAATTAATTTGCTGTTAATGAAGTGAGGTAGTTAGTATTTAACGCAGTAGACTGGGAACCAGCCTCATGCCCTGCCTCTGATTCTGCTGTGGTAAGTCTTTCATCATTATTTTTCGGCCTACCTAACTATGCCACGTATACATATTTAAAAAGACACTCTCATAGAGGTGTGGGGGGG